AATTAATATTTAATTTTAATTAATATTCAGTAAATAAAGAGGCAAACTTTGCACTTCAGTGTCGTAGTAGTGCTAGCGTATTCATGATCTGGAAGTGGTTATAACTTAATCTCCGTTTTAAGGCAATAATTTGTATATTACAAAATTTTTTCTTTTCAAGTCCAAACAGGCGTTTGGGCGCCAAATTTTCATTCAGCCTTAATGAGAACCTAGGTCTTTTAGGTGTGGAGACTTCCAGCAGTGCCTTGGGAGGGGGACAAAAGATGCTATAGCTAGAGGTTTAGGAAGCACCAACATGCCTCTGACTAATGGAAGCTTACTCAAGTCCTTCTTTTCACATAACATACCCCACACCCAGGACTGCACGCTCTTTATGCTGCAGTTTGCGATCAGGAGCATGTTGCAGCTGCACCAAAGGACATTAGGCAATGAATACTGCTAGGTAGCACTGGTTTTGATGTAACTCTCCATGGTGAATCTTAAAGAGTCCCATTACTTCAACTGATGCAAAAGAAATAGCATTAACCCAAACAACAAGAATCACTCTCTTCACATGGAAAATAAAAATAAATAAATAAGGACTAGAAACTACTAATTCTGAGTATCCTGGTTCCCCAAGGGAGCAGGTACTTGTTTTCCTGATACCCCAGGGAAGTGTGGTCATTTCAGTAATTCAAAACAGATCTAATGCCTTTTACTCATTATATTTTTCAACCTGGTTTGGTGCATGAGGTTTGTTTTTTTTTTAACATGAGATGTTGGTCTGAAATAAACAATTATTTTTTTTTTCTACCAGGAGAATATCTTGATGATTTCCAAGAATGCCAGTTGTGTGAAGCATCCTGTCAGAAGTGCATTGGACCTGAGCCAGACAACTGCATCAGCTGCCCACTCACAAGGTAATTTTCTCCCAGCACAGTGCAGCACAACGACAGCACATCGTCGTCTGGAGAAGTGGCTGTATGGTCTTTAGCACTAGCTCCCAAGGCTGACTGAAGAAGCAGCCAATGGTTAGGGCAAACAAAACCAGGGCAAGCAAGAAAACAAGTGTTACGTGAACAAGCCAGTTGGCTACATAGGCAGTTGATTCCCACAGATACAGAAAATTTTCTTTTAATATGTAAATAATCTTTCTTTCATGTCATCCTTTCAAAATTATAGTTACTAGAATCACAACAGTGACAAATTTAATAAGTCTAGGGCATCTGTAGCTGTACACAGCTATGGAGTTTGGCAGAAGGGGTGAATAGGAACACTGAGGCTAGCTCATTCATGAGATATTCATAGCACCTAAACATTGTCCCGTAACTGAGGTGTTTAACGTTAGGCTGATTTTTCTAATCTGCCATGAGGAGTGACTTTTCCACAGGACATTGCAGATCAGAGGCTTATGTTTAGGTCATCTCACACATAATCCAGGAGTTTACTGGTTTTAAACTCATGTCATACCAATAGCTTTATTCTTGCACTGATGGCTCTGGTTCTGTTGCACCAGATTGCATTGTAGCCAGCTGATATTTACACTGGTATGAAATCAGAAACAGATCCTGTAAGGTATAGAAAAAAAAACCCGCAAGCAATCCTGCAGTTTACCCTGCAAATGTCTATGATATGACTATGCCAATAAAAGACACACCAGGACCAATGGAGTCCAAACAAATTCATAACTGAGGAAATGGTATTAAATTAAGGTGTGTTACATCAGAAATGGCATTAGCACAGGAAGTCTGCGCAGAATTTTGGACTGCGGATTGCATTTCTCGGTTTCACAATTGCATTTAAATTAGATCGTCTATGTTTCCTTGCAACCTATTTTGTGAGCTTTACACAGAGATATTTGCAAGATCAAGAAGGTACAGAACACCACCATTAGGCAAAACCCCCTAAGTGTTTGCAGTAATGAGGTCTCTGTGACCTTTTGGGAAGGTGTTGCTGTCTGCCCCACAACAAACCCTCTAATAGTTTTCAATGTTGGTATCTAAGGTTTCCAAAAGCTTTCTGCACATTATGAAAGCTACTAGAAAAAAGTTGTATTAAGACAGTCAGTAGAAAAAGAAATACTAATAAAGAAAGATCTCACCTAGAGGATAAAGAGTAAATCCTTCCAATAGACATTATTCGTTATGTACTTGAAATAGACCTGTTTAATTGAAACAGAATCCTAAATCCTGTAGCTCTTGAGAGTTTCAGATGGTGTCTATTGAAGACAGTAATGAGTGGCCATTAGATAATACAGACTAAAATTCAGCAATGCTGCTTTCCTATGGGGGAACATCTTTCCTCTTTGAAAGGGATGAAAAGACTTGGGAGTGGGGGAGATTAGTGAAAATAATGTGAAAATGAAAATACTGAACAATCCCTGTTCTTTGTGAAAATTCAGCAATAGATGTCACCTTATTTCATAGCAAAATCACTGAGAGGTCATCTTCTTGTTTGACAATTCAAAATGCTGTTAAGTCTTTTTAAAAAATTATGGAATTGCAGGTTTTTGTCCAGCCAAATTGATTTTCACAAAATTCCTTGTCCATCTGTTTACTGTTCGAGCTACAACGGTTAGTGACAAGATCTGACCTGCTGGTGTCTTCCACTAGAGGCAACATAACAAAAAGCAAGAAAAATGTCTGAGGTGTTTGTAAGGATGTGTAAGGATGGCTATCATTACAGCCAGCACGTGTAGTAGAACACAGTAGTATTTGGATGTCATACAAGCATAGCTCAGCTACCTACAGTAATTCTGTCACATTGTCCCATTCTGCACAAAAACCAACCAGAGGTGGCTGCAGTCCTCATGAAGAGCTGAATAAAGGTCTTAAACTTGCAGGTATAGCTATCTGAGCTACAGTCTGCATGGGACTATCTTACCGTCAGACTCCAGAGCAGAGATTGGTGAAAGCTTCTGCCTGATGCCCTCCAGCAGCCTGCCTTCAGCCTTACAAGTCTTTTTAATCAATTCCTAAGTTTTCTTTGTTACATACTCTTCAGGAAGGGTGTTTGCATGATAGCCTATTCTTCCGTCTTCACACTTCGTAAGCCTAGACTTCTCTAATCATGGTAAATTTTGAATGGTTTCAAAGACTATTTGACAAAATTGGTTTTAAACTTTGCAGATACTATTCTTCTCTTCTTTCAGTATAAATCTGACAATGACCATAGCAACTCATATTTATGAAGGCATATCGCAGACATTCTCTAACGTCATTGGCTGGCTCCAAGGAAGCATGCACTAACCTAATATTATCGAAAGTCTACTGTTCCCTAGGTGTACAGACAAGCTGATAGTCCCAAAATCTGTACTAAGATCCTGAGTGGTGCTCAACTTCTCTAGAAATTGAGTCCCAAGTCCTCAGATACCAAACTGGTGAAAGCAGTGAAGTATGGAAGATTACAGTCTCCCCTTTCTTATTTTCTAAATGTTGAAAACACTGTCCAATTCTAGCCAACTTGTTTTATATTTTTTTAATATTCATATCTGTTTTGACGCTTTTCTACTTTTCTCCCAAACAGATTAAAACCAGTAGACACTATGTAGTGGTGAAAAATGGACCAGAAATTTTCATCACATAAAGGGATTCTGTAGCAAATATTTCGTTACCCAGCAAAAGGAGAACTCTGGCAGCAAAACTCCTAAGTGTTTGCAGATATGCAAGTCTAAAAATACAGCTCCTAAAGGCCAAGATTCAGATAGATGTTTGACTTTATGTACAAAGTCACATTACTGAAGCCATAGTACTGTTCACAGGAAGCCTTTGAAGCAAAACTAATAGGAAACTTCAACAACAGATGGATCATTCCTTCACAGAAAAAGACCGAGTCTTACTTTCCTTCTACCAGGCATAAGTGACCACTGCAGGGATTGTGATAGAAGGACATTTAGGTACAGGACCAAAAGTTGATTTTTCTTATGAAAATCTCAGAAAAAAAATAATCTCTGAAGTCTAAGATCCAGGTTCAAGACATGGTTGACTTTCCACTTAGTAAATACTATGAATAAGATCAGAAAAATTGAGTGAAGTGCAAAGACTCTTGTAAATAGAGTGAATGAAGAATATCTCGGGTTTCTTGTTAGTTTCCTTTAAATTTAAAGAACAAATAGTTGCTAAATTTGTAATTACGCCTCTCTCTGCCTCAAAAGAGTCTTTGATGATGGTCACTGTGTTATGCAATGCCCCAGAGGAAAGTTTGAATTCAAAGGACAATGTCATTTATGCCATCATACCTGCCTGGACTGCAGTGGAAGTGAACCTAACAAATGCACCGCTTGTGGAATGGGTAAGAAAGATTTCCTCTTGCAGCTTTTCCCTTTCCTTGGCCTCCAAGTTCCCCTTTCTCTCTGCTCTCAGGGCCTGTTGTTAGAGCCAATAAAATAAGTAGTGCTCTTGCTACTGATCTGCACCATAATCTTGTTTTAAACCTGAAGGGAGCTGGAACTCAATTTATTTTTAAAAAAGTACAAGAAAACACAACTCCGCATCGTCCTTGCATCTTTATGCATTTCCCTTGGTATATTTTGAATAGGAGCTACATTAACAAAAAGAGTAGCACAGGAAAAAAAGGACAGAAAACCTACATAGCCTGCCTCTGGAAAAGAAAGCTCCATATATGCCTCCCCCAGCCTCTACACAGTATGTGCTACACTGAAGTGGAGCAAGATTGCACAGGCAGGCAGGGAGTCAGGGTGCTTTCCGAAACATCTGTCTGGGGAAGGCTAGGAAACAAGCACGGTGGGTTCCTCTGCAGACTGCTAGGTTGTTACAACTGGACAAATGGGACCTGCAGAGAGAAGCTTACCACTAACACACATAGAAACTTGGCTTTTTGGCACATTTTTATAGAGCTTAGGTTGAGAGAAAGGGTAATATACTTAAATTTGCAGTTGTTCCAAAACCCGACTCTCCTCCTTTTGAAAGTCCATTTTAAAAATTATTCCCTCTTGCCTCTGTAACCCCTAATGGCGAAGAACTTGAGGCTATTACATACAAGTATGTGTGACTAGCCTGAATTGCTCTTGGAAATGCGTATTTAACTTTCAATTCACTTAAGAAAGAGGAATTTTTGGTGAGCTTTTTCTGAGGACTCACAATGGATTCACAGCCTTTTTCCTTTCAGCTGCTACTTCTATTTCAGTCCTAGTCATTAATGGCCCAGGCTTTATTTAGTAATAAGTGTCTAGATTACAAGAAAACACTAGTATGGCTGGCATTAATTTATCATACTGATGATGACATTAACTGCCTCATTTTGGGACATGTGACTGAGTAGACAAAGTCTTCAAATGGTACTTCAGGTCCAATGTGAGGGACAAGTTTGCATAATTATTCCCCAAGTCTCTCCCTATGGTGGACAGCAATATAAATTTCTGTATTTCTGTGTATCAAGAAATTAAGACACTGATGAGAATCACACCCCAAGGAGGTTGGAAGATGGCATTCTAAAGATTTGTACATCAAAAGCAATAGAAACAGAGCCTGCATACTTCTGCTATGGTGCAGCAATCATTCCGTACTGTAGCTGCTTTCTCTGCAGTGTAAAAAATAAATTATGGTAAGAAAATTCTTGCTCTACAGTTAAATCAATCAAATACACTCAGCAAAATAATGTATATAATTTATACCATAGGGAAACCCGTTAGGAAACTCCCCATGTTGCAGCACAGGGCACATGGAGCTGTAAGTGTTTTCACGGGTTTCATTCAGAGGGTTGTGAAGCAGGGTACCTCCCAGTTCCCCATGCACTAAAGAATGCTATTACTCTGATAGCAAATAGATGCACTCTTGCTATTCAGACTCAAATCTAAATGATTCCAGAGTCTAGCTGTGACTAGGAGGAGGATTACAGTTTCATCTACTATGGACATAGACTGATCCTTTCCAAAGGTGAAGTGGGCAGCTTTGCTTTCCTAACGGCAGTTCTACATCCACATGTAGAGTACAGTACAAATACTTGTATGTTCACTGCAAGGGGACTCAGTAATGGAAATCTCTTGAACCTTATTTTAATAGATTGATGGATGTAAGCAGTAATTATTCATTAGCATGACATCTTTATATGTCATTAATCTCCATGAATGTGGAAGGCTTGAGGTCCTGAAACTCTTACACTTTCTAGCTTATCTAGTGTAAAACTACAAATCCAGCAGACAGTGAAAAATATTAATTTTCATTGGTTGGTGCATCGGTGCTTCATAAAGCTGCTTCTTATGCCCAGATGTCCTCTGTTCCTAACATCTTTTCCCTGTTTGTTTGCCACACAGACAGAAGAGGGATCGAACTTTTCCTGTATCATGGGGAATGCAGAGAGAGCTGTCCTCCAGGTCACTACCATTCAGAGCATACTTGCATGGCTTGCTTAGGCCACTGTGAAGTGTGCCTGAACTCCAGCCACTGCAAAAGATGTTTCAGAGGATACTACCTTACTCAAAACATGTGTCAGAAGCATAGCTGCAGAGAAGGTAAGCATCCTTCAGTAGGAGTTAACAAATATTCTGCTTAATTTCTTACAGAAATCTAGTTAAGGGTCTCAGTTTCTGTTTTGAAATATAGAATCACACCTGATCCTGAGGTCCTTAAACTCCAGTTCTGATTCTCTTCTAATATCATATTAATGTAAAATAGGAGTATTTTCCTCAAATTGAGTGGGGTTACACAAGAACAAATGAGAAAAGAAATTGTCATGAATGTTTCTCCTTTTTGGATTTGGAGAAAGTTTCTTTCCAGGAACCTTGCTGAGTGCTTCCAAATGTTGGCCTTCCATTATCTAGAATTAACCCAAAATTGGTGGTTTGCAAAACACAGGTGAAGTGGAAGATCCTGACGATGAAGATTGCATACCGTGTTCAGATGGATGCCAGAACTGCAAATTGGGTAAATATTCCCTTTATGAACCTTTATTCTTATTCCTAAGGTAGGGAAAAATTATTCTTCCTCCCTCTCTTGCCATGAGCCTATGTGCACGCTGCTGAGCAGTTAGTCACTGCTGCATTCTCTCACCAGGTAAATCGTATTTTTCTCGGTGTATTTATTTTTGAACACCATTTCTAAATCCTACCACTAGCATAAATAAGAACATTTTTTGTATGAATTTAACTATTAATCTTTGCAGCACTTTTTTTTTCCCTGCTTGAATGCCACAGTCAGGCTGAGAGATGTACTGACTTTCTGAAGCAATTATCATATACAGAACTTTACCATAGATGTTCAAATTTTCCGGGCCTGAAAATAGCTCATTAGCCTGTGCTGCTTCTTTAAGGAAATAGACATAAGGACAGACCTTAAATTTAATTCAAGAGCAAGTCACTGCAATAACAATGTTACTGCCCTAAAAAGGCTAAAACACTGATTCATTTTTCATGCTGGATTAAAAAAAAAAAGTTGCTTCTCAAAATAATGTGATGTTGGCAGAGAGTTTGATGTCTTCAAATAGATGCTATTTAACTTACTGAACTTGATTGAATCTGTCTCTCAATAGTTCACCCTCACAGAGGATTAAAAATGTTCAAAAGACATGGCAATTCATTGTTTGCATTGTGTTTACATTTAAAAAAAGTTTATTTCCTGTGGCTATATGGGCAGGATAACAACTGATCAGTAACTCAAAACTGGGAGGTAAAAGGGTGACCCATCAGAAAGGCACTTAGGACATCTTAGACAAATTTCTTCTTAAGAAAGCAATGCATTTAGGTAAAGTAGTGCCCAAATGAGTACTGATAGGCCAAGACACTTCAACAAGACAATCTGCATCACAGAAAGTAAGACTTTACTACAATCTCCTTGAAGGATTATACAGAAGAAAAAAATAGACCTAAGCTTTACTTCTTTTGGTGCAAATCTAGGACAAGTCCCTGATCCCAACAGTTATCCGGAATTACTACTTGTTAAAAGAAAGGAACAAATTTGGCTTGTTATATCTCCAAAGACCATTTTTGAAAGTACTAAACTTAGGGACTACCAGGACTATCCATCCCCTCCCTGAATTCAGACAGATTTCCACAGAGAGAGAAATTCATACTGGGTCCTCTGGTTTCTCCCACTTGCTCCCTAATGTGTTCTGGGGCCTGGTGTAACAGGCACCACCATCAGTACCCAATGTTGCTATACAGAGGAGAGTGAATGGCAGGAAAGAAAACTGTGAAAGCATCCCATAAGAAAAAACAAATAAACAAACAAAAATAAACAACACACCCCCCCCCAAAAAAAAAAAAAAAAAAAAACACCAACAAAAAAAAAAAAAAAACAGAAGTTAATTCCCACCACTAGTCACAACCACTTTGGTGTTCTTCTGTGTCAACAACATTGTTCCCTGGGAAACAAGACTATCATGAATGGTCAGGCATACCAAACTTACGTGAGGATTGTCATCACATACTGCTTCCTTCTTTCTACCAGTCACCCAATCTAATATGTCACACCATAAAACTCCCTACTACTCTGGTGACCAGTTGTTCTGAAAAAAAATCAAGCCTAATGCTTTCCTCCATGACTACACCTGTAGCTTTCAGTATTGCTGAATGAAGAGCTGGAGGGACCAAGTTCTAACATGATTGCCACTACACTGTGATATTTTTTTCTACGGTGTGGTATCCAGATTCATGTCAGCTGTCTGTTTGGCCATGGGAAGAAAAAAGAAGAAAAGAAGTTTAGAGAGACAATCAGTTTCAATACCAATCTGCTGCAATCAGATGTTATTGTCTTATGGTAATATTTTCGGTGCTCTTCACAACACTTGTGAGTTACAATTCTTTGTATCTCTTCTGCAACTGTTTAGTGCCAATCCTTGCATTGAATTAGGGTGAAATGCACTATGAATAGCAATGTCTCCTAAAAATAGTCATTCCAAGAAACTCAGAGGCTGATTTTCTTTGTATATGAGGTTAACAAGATTGCATAAGGAGATTGCAAGACTGTTCATGGGCAGCTGGCATACAGAAAAAGGGGGTGTACTCATTTACATTTGTTCTCAGAAGATGACTTATCTCCTAATGATTAATCACCCATAATATTTACTACATCTTTACTCTCAGGTTCTTGCACTCAAACATGTGATTTAAAATAGGCTTTTCAAAAGCTTCAAAGATCAACAGAATGGATGCAGGTAAAACGAAAACTGAATTAAGTTTCACTGCTGAGTAAAGTTGGAAGTATTAAGATGCCAGAGTTTGATAAGGGGCATACTATTAAGGAAACTCTTTGATAGTTATGATGCATATATTATTGAGAGTCAAAGAGATTTGTTTAATGTTAGCTCTACTGGAACAGAAGCACAGCAGTGGGCTAAAAGCAAGATTGCAAGCTGCTTTTGCAAATTACTATGTGTTCCTGAAATAAAGCATGACCTGTAAATTTCAAACTTAAATTGAATCAGGTAGAGATGCTGTTGGTTCTTAATATTCAATGAGTTTTTCTGGCACATTGATAACTTAATTCATAGATAAGATGAGCACAGTAATAGGTTTCTTAAAGCTTATCAGAAAATTGATATATTTAAAGACTTCCGAAAACAAAAACCAGCTGAACTATCTACCTTTTAGAAGAAATGGATTATTTTGAAAGCTGCAAAGAAACTACACTGACATAAAAATAACTTCAAATAGTAAAGTTTCAAAGTGAGAAAATATGGAATGTGATACATTTAGTTTCACACCTTTATGGTCTTTCTACAGACTCTCTTCTTAATATTAAGCAAATGCTGCATGATTTTGCAGTCTCTCTTTGTCTTATCTTCCTTTCAACACCACTGAGGAATTTAATCTGAGTAAGAACTGTAGAGCAGGAGTAGGAAAAGCATTCCGATCCTACGAACATTTCTACTAGAAGTGCAGTAGAAAGCTCTGGGGAATGCTCTACTGAAAAAAAAAAAAAAAAGGAGGAAGCAAAAGGTGGTAATCGTAGCAATTGGGATCGAAGTTACATAGTTCATATACTGAAAAGTAGTTATTCACACACAAATGCAAATATATTTCATGCATACTTATGGATCTGCAAAAGACCCAAGACCATTCTCACAAAAAATCATCAGGCACCTGCTCTTTCTGAAGTGCTTTGAGATCCTTTGATATAAACTGTAAGAGAAAAAAATAATTAACTTCTTTGGTATATACTAAGTGCAGGATCACTTATAAAAGCTGTATGAATTTGAAAAGGAATATCAGACCACAGTGACATTACACAGGAAACTGTGAACAACGAAGTGCAAGTGATTCTCTCACTCTTTACAAATTACAAAGGTTAATAGATTTTTTTTTTCTTTTTTGTAGACACAGATCTAGTTTTAAAGAGGGATATATACGCTAATTAAGATAACTGAACTGGCTGGTTTTGTACTAGCCTGAAGGACAAGCAAATTTTGGCCAAAGATTTTTTTTTGCAGGGCACCAAAGAATAGATTAAACTGCCATCTGCAGTCTTGGGCAATGTTGTCCTGCTTTGTGCAGGCAAGAAAATGAATAAGATTTACTGTCTTTTGGCATGATGCCAGATGCCCGCAGAATAGAGCAAGTAATGGAGGCAAACTGTGTGGGGAATCTCTCATCTTGACCAGTAATGGCCCCACAGACAGATTAAGACACAGGTAAGATACTTTTATATCAGTTTGATACTTTACATCCCACATAAGACATTTCAGAGAAGAAGTAAAACCCAGCCAGTAAGTAACACTGCAGGTTATTTTTCACCAGGCATGAGGATACTAAGGTGGAAGACTGGCAGTATTTGTAATATTTTCTGGGATCCTCAGGAAATGTAGTAAAATCTGTCTGTTTTTCTCCAAGTCTGGACCTGGTTTTGTTTCAGGGCTCCAGTGTGGCAATATGTGTTTACTGTATCTACATGTAAGGTCTAAGAGCAAAGATAGGAACTGTCAGAGACACTTAATCAAGGACAGATAAGTCTTTGTAGTTTAAATACAGATGATGCTTTCTTTTAAATTCAGGCGATATTTTTCTTTCTGACTCATTAATTTGGAGCCTACTTGTATTTTAAGGAGATAAAGAATCATTAATGCTTACAGACAGCATTCTGCTTGCAGACACTGTCAAGTCCTGGGATGTATAGTAGGAAAATTGCCTTAGACAGCACTAATCCCAAATGAATCTATGGCTTTGTGTACACAGTGTCAAAACAATGGCTATGCACAGCAGGGTTCACCTCCCTACCTTCTTCTGTCTACATGCTCTCGAATGCATCTGACTCTGCCTGTTGCCACAGTATCCCAATTGGCGTGGAATCATAGAATCATAAAATCATTATGGTTGGAAGAGACTTCAAAGATCACCAAGTGCAACCGCACACCCGATGCCACCATGCCCACTAAACCCACTAAACCATGTCTTGAAGCGCCACATCTAAACGTTTTTTGAACACCTCCAGGGACGGTGACTCCACCACCTCCCTGGGGAGCCCGTTCCAATGCCTAACAACTCTAACAGTGAAGAAGTTCTTCCTAATGTCCAGCCTGAACCTCCCCTGGCGCAACTTGAGACCATTTCCTCTTGTCCTATCGCTAGTTACCGGGGAGAAGAGCCCAACCCCCACCTCACTACAACCTCCTTTCAGGTAGTTGTAGAGGGCGATCAGGTCTCCCCTCAGCCTCCTCTTCTCCAGACTAAACAACCCCAGATCCCTGAGTCGCTCCTCGTAAGGCTTGTTCTCCAGGCCCTTCACCAGCTTTGTTGCTCTTCTCTGGACACGCTCCAGCACCTCAATGTCCTTCTTGTAGTGAGGGGCCCAAAACTGAACACAGTATTCAAGGTGCGGCCTCACCAGCGCAGAGTACAAAGGGATGATCACTTCCCCAGTCCTGCTGGCCACACTGTTTCTGATACAGTCCAGGATGCTGTTGGCCTTCTTGGCCACCCGGGCACACTGCCGGCTCATGTTCAGCCGGCCGTCGACCAACACCCCCAGGTC